CAAGATCTGGACAAGCGCATATAATAAGCAAAAAATTTAATTTGGACCATGTGCGAAAGATATCGCCAAATGTATGCTTGGGGGAAAAAGGCAGCAAAGAAAATTGAGCTAGTTCCCTTATCAAACAACACACGGTGTCTGCCTAGAATTAATGACTTGGCTAATTATGTGGAAACGAAACTTCTAAAAAGAATAAAATTGAATTATTTTGCAATTTAACTTGACGAATCGATCGATAGATGTAACAAATGCCGCAGTCTTGCTTGTTCTACGTTAGATAGCTATCTTTTTACGAATAGTTGTTCAAGAAGATGCGCTATTTGCAAAACCTTTGAAAACCTACACAACTGGAGAAGCGATTTTCGATATGATCAATGGGTATTTTGAAAAGAATAGAATAAGCTGGTCTTATTGTGTGGATATACAGATGGTGCAAAATCAATGACAGGAAAATTTTCTGGGTTTGTGGCACGGGTGAAGAATATCAACGAAAAAATTCAATGGACTCATTGTTGTATTCATAGAGAACCTTTAAGTATGTAAGCCTATTCCTGCAGAGTTATCTATTACTTTAAGTGATGATGTGAAAATTGTGAACTTTATAAAATCGCGTGCTACAAATTGCCGTCTATTCCGTACGCTTTGTGGGGATTTTGGAAGTTTCTACGTTTCTTTACTACTTCACACAGAAGTTAGATGGCTTTCCCGTGGTAAAGTTTTGACGCGTTTGTTTGAATTGAAGTCTGAAGTTCAAGCATTTTTTATTGATCATCCGGATTTCATTTGCTTCTTGTATATCCGATATTCTTTGGCTGCAAAAGCTTGCGTATTTAGCTGACATTTTTTGTAAACTGAATGAAATTAAATATGTCTTTACAAGGCGAAGGGTGTCACCATTTTCAGTGTGCATGATAGAATTGAGGCTATGTTGAAAAAGATCAATTTTTGGACTTCAATGCCTGCAGATGAATGAGTATACGGATGTTTCGATTCTGTCAGCACTTTTTTATATCAGAATATTCAATTACAACTTGACGAAAACATTAAAAGGAGTATATGTGAACTTCTGAACTATCTGCGATTAACTTTCGATGACTATTTTCCCAACAGATGCAATATATCCATCTCAAACAACTAGATACGTAATCCATTTCAAGGAAATGTAAGTTCAGAAACCTCTTTAAATATACTGGAAAAAGAAAAACTCATAGAGTTATCTTGTGACAGTTCTCTAGCAGCAATTTTTAAAGATCAATCTTTAATTGACTTCTGGCTCAGTATACAAAATGAATATCCTGTTCTGTCAAAAAAAGCCATTGAAGTTCTATTACCATTTTGCACAACATATCTATGCGAGAAAGGATTTTCAACATATACTTATCTGAAAGATAAATACAGAAACAGGTTAAATGCAGAACCTGATCTAAGTCTGAAATTGTCAGATATTGAGCCTAACTTTGAATTGCTTTGTTCTATCAAACAGCCACAAATATCCCATCAAGTGTTTTTCCAAATGTAAAACATAAGAACCAGTTTGTTATATTTATCTTGTTTTCAACTTTTATAGCCATCGTTTTTGTCTTATTAATGTTTTATTTAAATGTTTTACGATTAATATAATCAATTATTCTGCAATGTGAAAAATATTTTTTTTTTTTTTTTTTTTTTCTCCGGTCATTAACGACTACATAGGGGGTTCGTCAAATTTTTTCGGACCTTTCTTTTGGTTCGCCAGGGAAAAAAGGTTGGGAAACACTGGTTTACGTGAAAGAAAAACAAAGTTACTTCATTAATACTTAGTAACTGATATCTGCAAATAAAACTGAAAAGCACAAGGGCCTGAAAACATATGGGAGCCATTATATGACACGGAGGACGGTAAATAAAAATTCCGTAACAAACATAATTTTTTATCTAATAAAAAATTTCAGTATCATTTTGATTTCAAAAAATTTGTAAATAAAAATAAGCATATTTTAAATAATAGTTAAGCTTTATTAAAATTAAGAAATCGTTACTCATACCAAAGGTATATAAAGAATAATTAAAAGCGTTGATTTCACAAATTAAAATTTTATAACTGACAGCTTTCGGTTTTTTTGGGGGGGAGGATTAATTTTATGATTTAAATTGATTTCATTTTTTACAAGATGTACCTTATTTACTGGTGTATAAGAGGCATATTTTCTTTAAAGGTTTCGTGTCTAAAAATTAGGTGCGTCTTATACAACGGTGGCGCCGTAAATGATTGCTGAAGATGTATACGTGGCATTCATGTTAACCCTTAGAATACCAATGCCTTTGCTCACCTGTTTCTTTTAAAAAGCCAAAAGTCTGAAATTCCCTTTCAAATTCACAATTCATTCTCCTTCTGTTCATTAACGAACAAAGAAGTGTGAAAGTTTAAAATGATATCGTTTCTAGTTCCTAACAAAGAAGCTTCCCATCTGAGTATACTGAGTCACCTCTATCTTAAAGTAAAGGAACTACACAAGAATTCTTTTAGGACGGACAAGGCTGTTTATACAGAGAACTGATATAATGCATTTGGGGAAGCTGTATCTTATGCTATCGTTTACTTTAGGGGAAACGCAGAGGAGGTCAAGCTATTGGATAGGAGTTCTGATAGTGATGAAGAGCTGTATATTGAATAAATGTTGATTTCAATTACTTTACGTGATATTTTACCTATTAAATTGTAAACAGCCCGTTAATAAAAATTAGTCTGTCAATTAAATAATTATTTACTTTTTTCTGTCTTCGGGTCCCAAAATCAAGGTGCGTCCGACGCACAGAGCTCTGTGAAGGTACTGTCTAGGATCTGTACCTAGGCAGTCTCGGCCGCGGGGGTATAAAATTCATGAGCTTGACGGTTCCAGAACCCCAAAGGAAAGTCGTTTTATACGGCTGGCCTGCGGCGAAGATTAGTGCCCAGTGAGAAGAGAGATAATAACTCTGTGCCAGGCGGTTGGCCAACCTGAAGGGGTGGTGTCCCTCTGGTGAGGAGATAGATAATAACTCTGCACTGCGTCCGGTGTGGTTGGTGCACAGGGATAATGTCCGAGCCCGCGTAGAACTTACTGGCACGTAACATATCTGATGATCAGTCAAATCTCCAAGCGTTCATTTTACCACCTTCACAAAAGATCAAAATCAACTGGAATCGTGGATGGTAGTCTTAGAGAGTAATGTATTTTATTTATTAAAAATGAGAGTAAAATTTTAATACACTTGCTATTCTTAGAAATAAATGCACCCTTTTTAATTTTTTTTAAATTTTATTAAATGCGATTTTTATTTATAAAATATTTATGTATTGCCAGTTTCATGAGCAAAGATGCTAACGAACTAATGTTATTTCTCTCAAATAAAACATAACTATCTCATTACAGATAGTGGCGATTATGCGTTGATAGATCCATCTTATTTTGTTGATATTAATCCGACTCGATCATGGGTGCTCACGGGCGGAGTCTAAAAACGAGTATTCAAGCCGAAATGCCAAAAATACCCAATATTTGATTTATTATTAGCCTGAATTACAATTAAAATTTTCTGCGTACTTTTCCATATAACTTGATATCTAAATATATCGTCATAGAAATGTTTGATAAACACAGTACAAAAATATAATATAAATGATATTAACATCTCTAAGGAATTGCGTAACAAATGTGTTAATTTCGTAGTTTTAGTTTGCTTCGAATACTTTCATTCAACTAAAGTCGAATTGGACGCTACATCGCCAAATTTGGCAGCAAATTCGTAAATGTTGACACTGCGGCGCAATAGTTTCTGTTCCGTTATCGGTCTCCAATAGATGTAGATGTCGTGGGGCGGGAGAAAGCACATTACTGTCACGTGACAAATTCAGAGGAAAAGAACGTTGTTTGTGAAAGGGAGAGAATGGAAACTGGAAGCTTCGAAGGTCAGCTCAAAGTACGCATTCATATCTGTTATCTCTGAAATTTAGTGGCTCATCTTTTTCTTCGACTTATTTTAAACGACTTTGCTCTGTAAGTGGAAACCCAAATCTTGGAAATTTTAGGTAAGAAATTCAGATTTTTCTCTGCAAATGAATAACGACTGTATGCTGAAGCCGGCATGCATGCAAGCCAGACAATGAGTTCGTTTTTGTAATCGCGCGCTAAGTATACAAAAACAACTGTGATCAATAATGCACGTTGACGCCCTTTCACCACGTGGTGCTCGCATGCTTTAGGTTTAACAGAGGTATTTTCTGTTTATATTAAAATTGTAAATTTTTAAAGTTATTTTAAGAATAAGATTTGATTTTGTATATGTTATTTTTTTTATATATATTACACTGCTGAATTTGAATGTGCTATTTTTCATTGTTGTTGTATTTCATACTTCGCGCGCACAGTAACAGCTTTTTGTTACAAATCATGTACATGAATTTTTATTTTGTACATGGTAAATTTGATTGATTTTTTTTTTAATAACATATATTTAACATTGTGAATTGCGGTTATGCATTTTTTAAAAGCATGGCATTTAAAACAAGAAAACTTCAGTATCTTAAAATGTTAGTAGAGTATTGTTTTCAACAAATCGGTGACTAAGGAATCCTAAAAAATGCCAAACTTAAGCTATAAATAAGATAATTCTGATAGGTTATAAGATTATTTGATTGATTAGTTATGTTTAAATGTGTATAATACAAAACTAACAGAATCATTTCAGAACTTAGGCCTGCATACTTATTTTATAAATATATTGTGTGTTTAAGCTACTAAACTTTCTGCATATTATTTCAATACTAAAAATGAGTTTTCTGGTTTTTATTAACAGATGGAATTAGTGTTACTAAACATGATTTACAAACATATAGAATGCTAGTATTTTTTATTATTTGTGGAAATTTTTATTTAATAACTAACTGAAATTTTCTTATTTTGTAACAAAATAGTGGGTATAGTGAAAACAAAATGCCTACTTGAATTATAATTTAAAGTTTTTTTTAATCCCTTCCCCAGGTTTATAAAGGAATGACTCGAATAGGAAGGAGACTCATAGAGGATTTCCTTCTACCTGCTTTGAATGATGAGAGGTATGGAGACTTATTGAAATGGATTGATCGTGATAAACGCTATTTCAGCATTAGATGGAGTCACAAAAATGCAGCAAAGTGGACATTAGCGGACACAGCTGTATTTCAGGTATGTGAATTTAAATTCAATTAATATTCAGTTTCATCATTGTTGTTAAAACTGAAAATGCAATCATCCTTGTGCTCCCTTTATTGAATGGTGAAACTTGATTATTTGCTATGTTTTTCTAACTCATAATTAAGTAGCACAAATTTTAACTGCTTTATAAAATTAAAACTGGAATATTCTGTGTTCAGGTTGTGAAAAAAAGAAAATTTTGACTAATCATGTATTAAGGTAAATATTAAAATGCCTAGATTTATACTGTTTTGGTATTTTCACCTTGTAATATTAAATATGTAATTCAGGATCATCAAGGTTTAAAGATTAGATACTCATGTATTATCCCGTGGACTGATGGCAGAAATTTTGGTAGCGGTTGCTTGTCATAACTATATTGTCGGGGACTACTGTTATATGCACCCTTGGGTGCTAAATTTCTCGCCAACTCCACAGTACCATATTACTATCTAAATTTTTTGTCTACGTTTCACTTTAAGCCTAAAATGTCTTCAAAAAAGCTGTTTTCTCATATGCAAAACCCACGTTTTGAACACACAATTTAAGCTACAAATCCGAAATAAAAACAAAAAATTTAGATATAAAAACGTAAAGTTTCTAACCAAAAAATATTTAACAAAAATGCATGTACACAGTGATATGTGTTAATTAAAAAAAATCTACGAATTGCACAATCTAGGCAGCGAAAGAATCTACGAACTACACACACCGTGCTTTTAATAAATTTCAAAGAATACCATGTACACAGCATTCTGTTTAAACTTTAAAAAAATCTACGAATTGCACAATCTAGGCATTGTGCACAGATCAACAAAATAACCTGAAATAAATTGCAAACAATTCAAATAACAGAAATTCATAGTAAAAAAAAAAAAAAATGAACATAACATTCTACAAAATAAAAACTATAAAATAAAATGCACTTACCGTAATACATATGTGAATAAAATTTCGCCAGTCACACAACGTCTGTCAACAAAAGTGCCACTATTTTGCTATATCACATGTCTTTCTGTGTTCGAGAGTAACGATAAAAACTTCCTCCAAAGTTAACTTACTACACGAAAACTGCGATCCAAATCTTAATCTCCGCTGACAGCCATATACTTTACCAGCAACCATTTAACTGCAAACCCACAAAAGTCTATCAGAAACACCATTCTTTGTCCGAGTTCTGATATCAGCTCCGCATTTCAGACATGCCATACTCCGTTTTAAAAGTCCTGACTCCCACAGAAATTCCAAAAATGCACTTTTATCTGCATAAATAAACCCGTGAACAAAAGACTCGTTAACAGCTCCAACATCGTACCTTTTAATACTAAATTTACTTTGCATACAATCTAAAATACGCAACTGAAATCTTGCCACCATGTCTCTAAGTTTCAACGTCAAAAGGGTTGCCATACAAACAACATCGTCCACCAAACCATTCCATAGTACGGTACGCTAAAAACCAGCACAGAACACGTATCACCACATTTGGTGATCTTAGGGCGCATATAAGAGTAGAGCCCATGGTCGTCCATAATTGATGCTAAATCGCTTTACTTGGCTGGTCTGCTATGAGCCAATGATAAATTTTCTTTTGTAAGTATTTAAAGGTTATGTTTGGAATAATAAATACGAATCATGCACAATTGCCACCTCTCAGTGAATTTTGCTGTATAAATGTTAACCGAAAACAAATTTAATTAATTTGAAATAATTTCAATTTCAATATCTTGCAAGAATTTTATGTAAAATCCTAGTACACCCAAGTAGTGTACATTTATACATCATAAATGTCTTGTTACATCATAAATGTCATGTTTGCTGCTTGTAATGAAGACACCAAAACCTGTGTGTACTGACTACTACGATTAAAACGAGGACCAAGTTTTTTTTTTTTTTTTAAATGCTGTTGGACTCCTGCTGACATTCCCCCCTTTTTTTAGTTTATTGATTTGATACAGTCAAAAGTCGTTAATCCGGACTCGTCGGGACTTCGGCGATTCCGGATTATCGATTTTTCCGGATTATAGATCATCAGTTTTAAATCTCGTAAGATGGCATGCAGAAATTCTAAAATTAAAAATATGAAACCATAATTTATGAAAAAATAAGAACAATTATGATCTAAAGGGTATCAAATTGCAAAAAGAAAAGCTTAATATTTATTTGTTTACTTTATTAAACATTTCTTTCAATGTAAGTTGTTTTAAGTTTTGCTTCATTTCATGTGATAATACTTTCTCTTTAATTCTATTAAACAGACATAATTTCTTGTTCAGTTACAAAAGTTCCGGTGTTCAAGTCCTATAATTGCTGTTCGAGAACACGGACTAATTTGTCAATCGAAATTTTTTAGTTTTCATAACCTCTGTCACTTTCTTGCTATCGGAAGCGAATTATAATGACGAGGAACTTGTTTTAAATCATATCGAGATGAAATACTACATTTGGTAAGGAATTATAAGCCAAATAAAATAAAAACATCTGTGCTGAAGATAAGGATAGTGCTGACAGATCAACTTCCAGTTCATTACGCGCCCCCTGCGGCGAGCAGCGTGAAATTGATAAACAGATTTCGGATTTCAAAACATACTTTCGCTTTAGATCCTTTACATATTAACAAATATATATCGGAAATTCTATTTGATATAATCGAAAGTTTAAGCTTACTTTTATAAAATTGCTCTTACAGTGTGCAAAAAATAATAAGCCGGATCCAATTCGAAAATTAAAGAACAACGCAATCATCAACATTAACTGAAATAGATAATTTTAGCTTATACGTCCATTATACATAAAACGCGCACGCGAAAACGTATTCTGCACTTGCGCACACTCATATACGCAGTCGTAAAAGGTCTTACGCGCACGCGTAAACGCCTATGCGCATGTGCCAACGCGGCGCATGCGCAGAAAGTTTTTAGTTTTGAGGTCCGGATTATAGATTATTCCGAATTATGGGTGTCCGAATTAACGACTTTTGACTGTATAGCTTTTTCCATACTACAGTCACATAAAATTCAACAGTTCAGGGTACCCCATGGTGGCAAAAATCGCCGCTACACAAAGCCAAAATAACAAGACAAACAATTGCACAAACTCGGTATCCATGTACACATCGACTTTTTTTCACTTAAAAAAAAAAAAAATCGCCCGAATTGCACAAAAATGGCATTGCGCACTCCTTTGACTTGTACCATGTACACATCGCCCTATTTTCACTTTAAAAAAATCTCAGAATTGTGCAAACTTTACAAATTCCCTTTACTTTGTTCGTGTGCCTATGGATATATTTTCAGTTAAAAAGTCAAAGGAGCACCAAATTCTACAATATAGGGAAACAAAAAATACATAATCTCAATAAAATAACATAAAAAAAGGAAAAACATGTTATACATTTAACCTTTTGAAGACGGGGTTGTCCACTTTAGTGGCCATGTCTTTTTCCCCCATTTTCCAGGCTGAAAAGTGGGGTGAAATGTCAAATTTGAGGTCCCTGGGGTTTTAACCACTTATCTCTTTTTCCCCCATTTTCCAGGCTGAAAAGTGGGGTGAAATGTCAAATTTGACGTCCCTGGGGTTTTAACCACTTATCTCTTTCAAGGGTCTTCCTTTTGCAACATAGATGCACCCCTCTGAGAATCCATTAAATACACACAAGAATCTATGTTGCAAATAGGAGGTGATTTCTTAAAGGGGTAAAAGCATTCGGTTCAAGATTCCCTGTCCTTTGGTAGCTTTTACTGCTACCAAAGCCCCGGCCTCAAAAGGTTAAGCACTACCAAAAGCAAATATTCACTTACCATGATTTTCGAGTTCGCTTCGTACACCCAGAGCCACGTAAAAATCAAAATATCCAGTCATACTCAAATGACTTTTTTCAAACCAGGTACTTTTTCTAATCAAATGCTTCAACATAGTGACCATCTGAAACTTTTCTTACCTACAAACCCATTCAAATACAACTAAAAGGTTTTTACGTTCGACTAGACTCATTATCCTTCCTTACGTATACAGGACACCTGTAATGGCTACTAAGTAAACCTTCATTGACACACCAGTCAATTAAAGCTCTTTTCCCCTTTCGCCTCCAAATTGTAACAGAAACTTCATAATTAATCTTACTACATTCGGCCATTTTACCGTCTAAAGAATCAAACAACACACACACAAAAACGCTTAAAAAACTTTCCATGATTCAAAATTTCCCAGAATCATGCACCCGATTATGTTACAATAGGTTTTCCATAACATTCAACTACTCAGGCTACCACAAATTAAACAACTTGGCGATAAATCAAACAACTTTGCCATAATATAAGGGGTACCTTAAAGTCTACTCTACCCCAGTAAAATTTTAAAAGCAACAGATCTTTAGAATTCCTGGTAGAGTGCGGAATTGTCCACTTATTTGTTTGGTGCTTTTTACAAGGGTAAAAACAATTGGATTTTTGTCATTTTCTTTTATTTTTTAAATGAAAATAGGTTGATTTGTACATAGATAAAGGGAGTGCACCGTGCCATTTTTGTGCAATTCTGGGGTTATTTTTTAAGTGAAAATAGGTCGATGTGTACATTCCCCGAAAAAAGTATATTCAGTTTTCTTTTTTTTTTTAGTTAGGTAATACTTAACTTAGTAGGGTTTGACAGGATTTCAAACCCGGTTTTAAAAAATTGGTTTTTAAAGAAAATTTGTCACATTAGAAAACCGGTTTAAAGAATTGATATTATTATGTAAAAAATAATTTTAAAACTTATTTGAAGCTAAATCGCAGAATAGGCTGCATCAGTCGATGCTGTATTTACTTCTCGTATGTTTGGACACACCTTTTTATGACGTAATATTGGTTACGCTTCTTCTTAAAAACAAGTTATAAGTATGCTATAGCTTCGTATTTAACTAAAATTATATTTTAACCGAGTTGAATGTTAGGTTTATAACGTTCTGTGCGAGATTTTTTTAATTATAAATCTACTTTTGTGTGTTGTGTAAT